CCAAAGTAATGAAATAAATACGACATGTGACCTTAGACCAAAAAAGTGCAGGATGATCATAACGATAGCAGATGTTTACATAGGACCCTCTCTTTGCCAGTGTGCTACTCTGTCATTTATGTGAGGGCTTTTTGGTTACTTTTAGCTTTTAATCTTTTTAATTTTTTTATTGGGGTATAGTTGCTCTATAGCGTTGTGTTAGCTTCTGCCATACAGCAAAAGTGAATCAGCTATATGTGTGCTTATATCCACCCCCCCGAGCCCCCTCCCCCCTCCCCCCATCCCGCCTCTTCAGTCATCACACAGCACCGAGCAGGGCTGTCTGCGCTCTACAACTTCCCACTCGCTGTTTATTTTACACATAGCAGAGTGTACACATGTCAACCCCAATCTTACCATTCATTCCACCCCCTCGTCCCCCTGCCAGGACCACATGTCTCTTCTCTATGTCTGCGTCTCTATTTCTGACCTGCAAGCAGTTTCATCTGTAGCATTTTTCTAGATTCCACATATATGTGTTAACACAATATTTGTTTTCCTCTCTCTGACTTCCTTTGCTCTGTTTGACAGTCCCTTGGTCTATCCACATCTCCTACAAATAAACCCAATTTCATTTCTTTTTTATGACTGAGTAATATTCCATTGCATTTATGCACCACATCTTCTTGGGTTTTAATTCATTTAACCATTTCAGCTACCCTATGAAATACACTCTGATGTCACCCCATTTAACAGACCTGCCAAGGCTTTACGTATACAACTAGTAAGTGAGAGAAGTGGGGCTTGAACCTGGGCGGCACAGCTCCAGGGTTCAAGCACTTACCCACTATGATATTCTGTCTGCTAGATCGTGGACCTCCTTTGGTGTAGGTACTGTGTGTATGTATGTGTGTCCTCCACATGTTATGACTGCTGTGATCTTGTGGCTCCATCTGACATTGTATTAGTGTGAGTCCATGATTTGAGATTTTTCTTCATCCTATAGCAATGGCTCAATCAGAGACTTGCCATAAACTAGGTGGCTGAGATGCCTTCAACACACCCAGGGGAAGTGGGCTAAAGCTTAAGGGATCAACCCAGGACCCCACCACCCTTAAGCTTTGGGCACCATGCTTGAAAGACGCAGTGAAAAGGGAAATCGACATTGTAATTTGTTAAATTGCAGACTGTACTGATGGCGCGGTTACAGTGAATACTGTGCCTTTTGAAAGCCTCAAATCATTATATAGGGTTAGACATGTGAGGATTCTCTTATAAGCTGGTAGCAGGCAAAATTCGATTTTCATAGCAGAAATCTGTTCTGGAATTCACTGCTGCCTTTTGAGACTGAAGCTATTTGATTCTGCCTCCTAGGTATAGCCAGACCACCCATGGTCTCCACCTTCTTTGTAAATCTATGAATAAAACTCTTTGTAACGAGGTCCCTTTTTGTGAAACAATAAAATGTTTCTGAGAAGGATGTTAGAGCCACAGACTTTCTTTAAATAGTGGTATCTTGTGTTGTTTACTTTTAAAATAATCTCTAGCGCAAGAGGGGACTGTGTCCTTGAAGAACTGCCCCAGAGAGCTCGTGAACAGGAACAATGGGCTGTATCACTGCTTTCTGGAAAGCGGATGGGCTTTTCATGTGAACCCAGCAAGGGGTCAGACCACACTGACATATATTTTCTGGTTTCTAGTCTTACTTCCATTGCTATTGTGGACTCTGTTACACAACCCTCTGACCCAAGGCCAAACCATGTGAGCTTTTTATCAGCTCATAGAACGGTTTCTGCACAGCATGGCTCCCTCCAGGGCCTAGGGGCCAGTGGGCAACCAGACCTCAGGCTCTGGGCACCAACACCCAGATCCCAAGTTCAACTCTGAAATAGAAGCATGATGTCACCATGGACCAATCAAACCGCTTGTCTGAGTTCAGTCCTGGATGCCCTGGGGTGGTGATAATTGTGTGTATGTGGGCACTTAGTCGTTCAGTCATGTCCTACTCTTTGTGATACCATGAACTGCAACCCACCAGGCTTCTGTGTCCATGGGATTTTCCAGGCAAAATTACTGGAGTGGGTTGCCATGCCCTTCTCCAGGGGGATCTTCCCAACCCAGGGACTGAACCCTTGTCTCTTGTATCTCCTGCATTTGCAGGTAGATTCTTTACCACTAGTGCCACTCAGTAGCTTAAATAATATGAGAATGTTAATTAACTGAAAAATAATTCTTTCATCCTATTTCTTTAGTGTATTTCTTTTTTGTTAGTGCAAGAGTTAGTTGGGGAAAGGGGATTCATTTTTCTTTTTCTAGGTTAGCGGAGCATAAGCTAAGAAGAAAATGTCTCAATAATTGATGCTCGTCAACCACTCAATTGCTTAATCCATAATTTTAAGTAGGAGTCATTTATATGTCCTGGCTTTCATCACAGCTACTATCCAAACCAGTAAGTCGTATCCTCTTGACTTCCAAGACAATTCTTGAATTTGACCATTTCCTTCATACCCATTGCTAGGACTTTCATCCAAGCCATGATCATCCCTCACTCAGACCAAGGCAACAACCCCCTCAGTGGTTTCTGCTCCCCTTCTTGCCTCTCTATACTCTACACAGCAGCCAGAGGGGTCTTTCTTTATGAAATTATATACCTCTCCTGCCTAAAGCTTTCCAGTGCTTCCCCTTTGCAGCCAGATTAAAATCCAGACTCCTCACCATGGCCTGTGAGATTCTGTACGGTGCCTCCTCCCGGCCCTTTTCTTCACCATCCGTCTCCAGGCACCACCTCAACCACAGTGCTCTAGATACAGCTGTGTTCTTGGTTCAAGACTCTCGCACTGACTCTCACTGCACCTGGAATGTTCTCCTAGATCTTCCACCGCTGCCTCCTCCTTATCATTCAGTCTAACTCAAACGTTATCCTCTCAAGAAGGAAGAGCAATGCCTTTCATCCCAACTGGCACCCTTGCTGGATTCTATCCCTGCACCCTGAGTGTGAAATCCACGCAGGCAGGGACTGTGTCAGTACTGCGGGGTACTTCACCTGCAGTACACAGCACTGGGTGTTGCACCTAAGAGGTACTGAGAAAATGAATGAATCCCCGCATCCCAGCTGGTATGGACATTTATTGCTGGTAAAGTTCTTGCACCTACTATTCAATGAGCACATTTAAGCCATTTGCACTCAGCCACAAGATAATAATAAAAAACACACTGATTTTTAGTTGGTTGTATTACTGTCCAATACTTTGGCCACCTGATGCGATGAGCTGACTCATTGGAAAAGACCCCGATGCTAGGAAAGATTGAGGACAGGAGGAGAGGGGAGCAACAGAGAATGAGATGGTTGGAGGACATCATTAATTCAATGGACATGAGTTTCAGCAAACTCCGGGAGATGACAAAGGACAGGGAAGCCTGGCATGCTGCAGTCCATGGGGTCACAAAAAGTGGGACATGACTGAATGACTGAACAGCAACAAACTGTTTTAAAATCTGCTCCATGTGATTCACTCTCTTATTGCTATACCTGGGATAGACTACGCCCAGAGCCCTGCTTTTGGCACAGTTCCGAAATAAAAATGGACTCTTCATACCACTCATGGTAGAAGACAGTTAGCAGATTCAGAAAACATGAATTGTTCAGCATAGAGGGAGTCACAAAACAAGATCACTAAAACCTGTGAAGATAAATCACTCCTAGTTTGTAAGTAAAGAGGGGTAGGAATTTCGCAGAGCATTTTGGAAAAAGCAGGTAGGATAAGTAAAGTTATGCTGCAGTAACAAACAGCACAAAAATTTCTGAGGCTGAACACAAACAAAAGTGATTTTTTGCTTCCATCATCCATCGTCAATGTGATGGATGTCATTCTACTCATTTTAGCTACTCCAGGATCCAAGTTCTATCTCAAAACGTGAGTCTGTGTTTGTTGAGGCAGGAAAAGAGAACATGGTGAAGTATGCACAAGCTCTTAAAGACTCTGCTTGAAAATGATGCTCATCGCTTTTACCAAAGGAAGTTTTTAATATACTGCACATCTAACTAAGAAATCATGAAAGTATAATCCCTACCAACCTACTAGGAGAGCTGAACAATTTGAGGAATCATCCTAGTAATACAATTGATTCGAAATTTGTACTTGGAGAATTTTGAGCAACCATAAATGTATAAATAAATACAGTGGATATGTACACAGTATGGATCATATGGTTATGGCCAACAGCAGATGAAGGCTGAGACAATAGAAGAACAACAACAGAATTGGGCATTAAAAGAAGAAATATGGATTTAACTCAGATCAAATTTGTCACTGAAAGTCACTCAGTCATGTCCAGCTCTTTGTAACCCTATAGACTATACAGTCCATGGGATTCTCCAACCCAGGGATTGAACCCAGGTCTCCTGCATTGCAGGCAGATTCTTTACTGAGCCACCAGGGAATCCCAAGAACACTGGAGTGGGTAGCCTATCCCTTCTCCAGCAGATCTTCCCGACCCAGGAATCGAACTGGGGTCTCTTGCATTTCAGGTGGATTCTTTACCAGCTGAGCTACCGGGGAAGCCCTTCTCAATTGGGGTTTTGTGAGAGGTTTAATCCTGAAAGTTCTATGCACCAACAATAGCACTAGGGTATTAGCCGTATTCCCTCAAGACAATTGAAAAACTAGTCTCTCAAATAACGTTCTGTGGAGCCCACTCTGTCGTGGAACCCTGGTAGAAGCAAGGCTCTTTGTCGTACACGTGTAAATGTTTTCAGCATCCTTAAGTAGGGGGGCCTGGGAAGCGCTGGGAAACCAAAAAATGCATGTGACCTGGTTTTTCTTTTTTTAATATTTGCTTTATTATAGTGGTCTGAAACGGAACCCACAGTATCTCTGAGGTATATCTGTAATGTACATATGTACACCTGTGGCTGATTCATGTTGATGTATAGCAGAAACCAGGACAATGTTGTAAAGCAAATATCTTTCAAGAGAAAACAAAACAAAAACAAAACGTAATTGGAGTCTGGCGGCGGCAGCATGGTGGCGGGGGCGGCTGAGGCAGCGGCGGCCGTGGTGGAGGTCGGCTCAACCGGGCAGTTTGAGGAGCTGCTGCGCCTCAGAGCCAAGTCCCTTCTTGTGGTCCATTTCTGGGCACCATGGGCTCCGCAGTGCGCTCAGATGAACGATGTGATGGCAGAGCTCGCCAGAGAGCACCCACGAGTCTCGTTTGTGAAGTTGGAAGCAGAAGCTGTTCCTGAAGTATCTGAAAAATATGAAATTAGTTCTGTTCCCACCTTTCTGTTTTTCAAGAATTCTCAGAAAATCGACCGATTAGATGGTGCCCATGCCCCAGAGTTGACCAAAAAAGTGCAGCGACATGCGTCTAGCGGCTCCTTCTCACCAAGTGGTGGTGAGCACCCAAAGGAAGACCTCAGCCTGCGCCTGAAGAAGTTAACTCACGCTGCCCCTGCATGCTGTTCATGAAGGGGACTCGTCAGGAGCCGCGCTGCGGTTTCAGCAAGCAGATGGTGGAAATTCTTCACAAACATAATATTCAGTTTAGCAGTTTTGACATCTTCTCAGATGAAGAAGTTCGTCAGGGCCTCAAAACCTATTCCAGTTGGCCCACCTATCCCCAGCTCTGTTTCTGGAGAGCTCATAGGAGGATTTGCTATAATTAAGGAGCTAGAAGCATCTAAAGAACTAGATACGATTTGCCCCAAAGCCCCCAAGTTAGAGGAAAGGAACTGAAAGAAAATGGGGAGTTGCTGCCTATACTGAAAGGAGAAAATTAATGAACGTTAGACTTGGTGCCCACCCACTGCAGGAAGGCTTCCTCCAGCGGAGCAGTTCAGGATTTAGTCCTCAGAAACGGACTAGAAGGAGAAAATGCTCATCCCCAGTTACGCTTTGTGTACTTCACAAGGCTGTGCTAAATAACGTATGTGACCTTTTTTTCTACCAAAAATAGAACGCAATAAACATCTTCAAGTTCAATTTAAAAAAAAAAAAACGTAATTGGGCCAGAACTCCCTTCCTCCAGGTAGAGGAAACTCAGAGAGTTGAAGCTTCTTTATTAAAATTCAACAAGGACCTCCCTGGCAGTCCAGTGGTTAACACGCCACGCTTCCAGTGCAGGAGGTGCAGGTTCCATCACTTGTTGGGGAAATAAGATCCTACTTGCCGCTAAAATTTTTTTACAAAAGAAAAATTAAACAGGAAAGTTCAACTACAATTGAATCTGCCGGGTTGGGACCAAAAATACATGATGGGTTATGAAAAAGAACTTTGTAATAAGCTGGTGGTTTGGCCTTGGAGACACCTTCAGAGAGGTGCCTTTTGGGGGGATTAGTTAATGTAGACTCTGCCCAGTTGCGAAGACTTAGTTGCAGCTCCATCACAAATATCCAGTCTCTCTTTTCCTGGTACCAGTGGGCTAGCCCGCACGGTCTTCTCAAGGTGATGGCAGAAGTACACAAGGAGCCCTAGGAAAAAATATAAGGCCTCTTGAGGCTCTGGCTCTAAGTGGGTACAGTATGACGTCGGCCTTATTGGCAAAAACAAGTCACAGGTCCAAACCCCAAACCAAGAATCACAGAAGTACATCCTGCCCAGATTGAATGTACGTTGCACAGTTAGGTGGAAAGAATGAAGACACAAGGAGAAGTAAAACAACAACAACCCCCCAACACCCAAAATTGCAAAGAGCTGATAAGACTTTGAATCACAAATTCGAGTAAATAAACATATTTCTAATAAATAATAATTTGTACATTACATGTTGACTGAAGGAAGGTTATTTGTCTTCTCAGCAAGATTCTGACCCTATTCTTTCAAACAAAATGTATCTTTAAAAATGTGATGAGGAGTACTGTTTGTTTTTCTCATCTACCCGGAGTTTTGCGGCAGCGTAAGCTCTGGCTACTTTCTTTGCTGTCTGGCAAGAGCACGGCTTCCCTCTAAATGGCTTTGATTCAGTCTACCTCTGAGAAAGGGCAGGGCACGTAACAGCAACATGTGCAGGGTTGAGTGGATGGGATTAAAAACATCTTTTCCACTAGGAGGAAAACAAAACAAAACTGTGTTTAGATTTTAACTTCCTTGTGGGCAGACATGTCTTACCCTTCTTTGGATTCCTGCCCGTGATAAAAACTGGGGGCAGAGGGCTGCGGTAGAACAGACACTGACCTAGGAGTCAGAAGCCTAGATTCTCAGCTCAGCAGGTCAGTACCGCTCACGAACTTAAACCAGTTGCTTTAGCTCTCCGGCCCTCAATTTCCTGTTCTGTGAATGGGAACTGATGGTAAGGCGACCTACTTATCTCCAAAGGTGTGTGAAGAACAAATAACATAGCAAATGGAGAAGATGTGCTCCCATACACGTGCAGTCCGTCTAAATTCTGTTCTTGTTAGGACATGAGCTTAAGGAGACCGGCTGTGGATTTAACCTCCTTAGGTTTCATACTCAGGAAAAAGCTGCTCCAACACCCCTACACGTTGCTTCTTTCCCTGTAGATGAAATCAGGACTTAGGAGAAGCAGAGCAACCTCGATGCTTCTGGAAAGAGTTGTTCTGGGGAGCCCTGCCCCTAAGCAGTTTGTGTTAACATGTTTTTTGAAGTCGTGGACTACATTAAATATCTAAAGAAAGCTATGTCTCCTCTCCCCAGGGCAAAAAAAGTGCGCCTAAGTCTTACGAGGTTCCTTGGTGACTCAGTGGTAAAGAATCTGCCTGCCTGAATCTGTAAAGAATGCAGCAGACGCAGGAAAAATGGGTTCGATCCCTGGGTTAGGAAGATCCCCTGGAGAAAGAAATGGCAACCTGCTCCAGTATCCTTGCCTGGAAAATCGCATGGACAGAGGAGTTTGGTGGGCTACAGCCCACGGGGTCACATACAGTCGGACATGACTGAGCGACTAAAGAACCACCACCACAAGTCTATGAGCACACACTCCTCTCAGAATCCTTGCTTTAGGGAAATAAGTTCCCTGAACATAGTCTCAGCGCGCAGCCTGGCACTCCTGGCAGGGCTGTCTATGTTTCGTCACGTCCCCTCCGCAAGATGACACCCCCAGAGCTCCACTGAAAGAACTCAGCCCTCTCACTGGGCTTCTTTCTCTCGTTTTCTGCTTCTCCTCTCCACACAGAGAGATCTAGAGCCAAGGTGTTAGTGTATATCGGCCCAGGATGCTCTTTGAAGGCTGTTCTGCAAAAAGTTTTTCCTTCAGCCATCCTCTTCTCTGCCCCTCCTCCCTCTCCCACTCCTCTTTTTCTTCTTCCAATTCTTTTCTTCTTCCTCCTCCTCTTTCTTTTCTTCTTTAGAGACAACTCTTTCCTATCACTCTACAGAGGCATATCATGATGATGTACCTACAGCGGTCCCCAACGTTTTTGGCACCAGGGACTGGTTTGTGGAAGACAATTTTTCCACAGCCCAAAATGGGTGAGGGGTGGTTTCAGGATAATTCAAACACATTACATTTATCACACACTTTATTTCTAATCTAATGTCCTTGCTGATCTGACAGGAGGTACCAATCCACATTCAGAGGTTACGGACCCCTGCCTCAACAGACATCTTGAAAAGGCACATCATTAATCAGTATAAGCTCACTGAAATTGTTTACTTTTGTCTGATAACTCAGTTGGTAAAGAATCTGCCTCCAATGCAGGAGACCCTGGTTCGATTCCTGGGTCAGGAAGATCCACTGGAGAAGGAATAGGCTACTCACTCCAGTATTCTTGGGGTTCCCTGATGGCTCAGCTGGTGAAGAATCCACCTGCAATGTGGGAGACCTGGGTTCGATCCCTGGGTTGGGAAGATCCCCTGGAGAAGGGAAAGGCTACCCACTCCAGTATTCTGGTCTAGAGAATTCCATGGACTGTAGAGTCCGTAAGGTCACAAAAAGTTGGACACAACTGAACTTCTTTAAAAAAAAATTAGGGAAAGAATCTAAGGCATTCATTTACATCCCTTGTTGTTCGGTTGCTCAGCTGTGGCATCCTAGACACCAGATTTCCCCGTCCTTCACTATCTCCTGGAATTTGCTCAAACATCCCTAGAGGTGAGTAAATCATAGCACCTTAAATAAACAAAGCAACTACCCCCTTCCCTCCAGCATTTCCTTTTGTGGCAGAACTGCTAGTTAGCTCTCCAGTATAGGTTACTAGTTAAAAGTACACGTCAACTCCGTTATCATCCACAGCATCCCACCTTGGAGGGCATTTAGGCTTATAACCACCGAAGGATGAGGATCACTGGAAAAAATGAGCAAGGCGTATAAGGACTAAGTGCGGGAAAAGAAATTATGACTCCGAAAATTCACAGACCATGACAATTGGAAAAAAGATGATATCAGCAAATGTGGTGATTTTTCTACAGCACTCAAATTCCTGTCTTGTATGTCAACTGAAGAGAACTTTGTCCCAGGGATATCACACCATAATCCACATACATGCTGAGGTTTTGAAATTTTTTAAAATAATAATTGAAAAAAATTTTTAAATAGTCTTCTACTCCAGTTTGTTCATTACCTTTCTTGGTGATATTTTCTGATGTTTGGACAAGTGATCACTTTATTCTACTGACATTGTTTCACATCCACGTCATTTTTATACTTACTGTACATCACGTTGCTCAGATTTAATTTATGAGCAATTAAACAGAGGTGCTGCCCTTTTAAAATATCTTTCTACGTGTTTAAAAGCGGCCCAGGGAAAGAACAGCACAAGGAGGACACAGCTGAGCCGTGGATTTAACGATTCTTCTGTGGTTATGGACTTCATTGAATATCTAAAGAAAGTGATGGCTCCTCACCCCAGTGCCCACCCTGGGGAGGCGTGCACCTATACAAGTGAGTGTGTGCTAAGTCGATTCAGTCATATCCAACTCTTTGCAACCTCATGGACTGTAGCCTGCCAGGCTTCTCTGTCCATGGGATTCTCCAGGCCAGATAATAGGATTGGGTTGCCATGCCCTCTTCTAGGGGGTCTTCCTGACCCAGGGATTGAACCCACAGAGCTTGAATTTCTTAAGTCTTCTGCATTGACAGGTGGTTTATTTACCACTAGCATCACCTGGGAAGCCCCGTACCTATGTATATGGACACAAAATTTCAGGATTTATGTGGAGCTTTGCTCCTCCTAGAACTTCTGCTTTAAAGAATTAATTTATTTCCCATGCACTGGTAGGAAGATTGCAGTTTCTCTAGTTCATGCTTGCAATGATTGTTTTCTCCTTCTTCAGGCAATAGCCTACTGGAAATAAACCTTAAATAAACAAACCAGGTGAACTCTAACAGAAAACAACCAAACTACTTAAAAGAAAATGAAGGTGAGCAACCACGCCTTTCTATGTGTTTTTATTTGGCTTTTATGAAAATGTTCTGGGTGTGGGAATTCAGTGTTTACAGCTGTGAGATTCTCTCATCCTTTGAACCCCATTATATGTAGAGCAGCTGTAGAAAGAGGTGAAGGTCACAGATA